AATCAAAAAAATCATTTGAGCAACCTTAATGGAAATGAAGTAAACTTACAAAGAATCTAGTAACACAAAAAAAAAGAAACATTTAAAAATGTAAAACACAAATAAACTGGTGGTCATAAAAAAATCAATTGCGTTTTCATTCAAATTTTATGTAGATCTCTTACAGCTACTGCTGCTCATTGGTTTGGATATGCGCTAAAAGCTTAGCTAAGTCAGCAACCCGCAGCCAGCTTTTACTTTGCCATACTGAGTTCCGCCGTTAGTTTGTGCCGTTCGCGCTCTTTCTCTCTCATTCGCTTACTCTTTCATTCTCTCTCCCTTTCGCTCGCGCGTCGAGTATCTATCTGCTTGGCTCTCACTTGGTCTGGCTCTCCCCGCACTGCCAGCTTTGTCGTGTGTCCTATGCTTTCGTTTTTGCACTCCTTTATTTAGTTTAGTGTGTTCAGTTGCGTTCTGGCATCGTATCCTGTCGCTGTCGCTGCCTCAGCCGTTGTTGCGTCCATTGCGCCCGCGTTCCGCGCTTACCTCAACCATCGTTTCGTTTGACTTTGAGTGCATTTAGGGTCGCCTGCAGTCAGTTTACCTTCCAGCCTTGCCGTGCATCCAACTATATTGACAAAGGCACAGTTCGGATCGCCAAATAGGTGATTGGCCAGTGTAATTCTTGTGCCGCTGGAGACTAGATCCGAGTTCGACTGCCTAACGCAGCTAACGTCTAGTTCTGCTGCAGCTCCACCCCCGACCGGTCACCAATTAACGTTTTCGCAGTGCGTCCGGCTTAAACGGCTTCAAAATTAACTACTCAAAGTATCATCACAACGCTATGTCCCTCTCGGCCATAGCAAAGGTAAGTGCTCCCTCCGTGCTCGATGCCCCCTTGCTAAAAAATAAAATGCTTGCTGAAAACTCACTCATCCTACACCGCCAAAGACTGTAAGTTGGTTTGAGTTAAACTCATACTGCAAACATGCGGTTTTCGCCCATGCGCGTAGCCAAAAGCTTTTGCGCTGTTCCTCGCACTGTGAAATAGCGCGTCCAGGGCTGCCAGGCTGTGTTTGGGAGCAGGACACAGTGGCAGCTGTATGCAGCAGGAGGCGGACTCGACAACCCTGCCCGCAGCACACAACTCAAACTTCGGCTCTCAAAAGCAACCCCTAATCAGTGAAAAGCACCCCAGCGAAACTTGTGAGCCATTTTGTTGCAGCGCTCGCGCTGACTCTTGAGCGCGCCGTGCCGTGCCGTTGCCGTCTGCGAGTGTCCTTGGCGCGTCGTACAGGCTTGCTTTTGCTTGCTAGCAACCAGGACAACGTCAAATTGGTTAAGGTTAATGCCCCTAGCCGACCTTGATGTACGACACACATCGGAACTCGGCGCCGACTCGGCCTACTCTCGGCTCCCTGGCATTCTCGGGATATTTCCGAATTTACTTTCACATGGGTTCAACGAACTTTTAGGCAACTTATTATGCTCCCATATGTATGTTTGTATCTGAATATACATACAGACCAGACCCATCGCTCTTTGTTGGCCTATGTGGGCTGGCGCTTGTTCCTGGAATTCGTCTGCTTTTTGGCCGAACAGAATAGGGTCCTTTGTATATAGATGCACGCGCACACACTCATACCTACATTCATATTATTTTGGCGCTTGTCCGGGCCATTGGCTCATGTTACTGTTGCTCAGAGCATTTAGTCCTTCGGCACAGGCGGTCAGTGTGTGTATAACTTCCGTAGCGTTTGCAGCAATTGGCAATTATCGCAAGGCCCCTATATGAATCATGTGGGTATTCCAATAGAAGAGGCTAGTACTTTTTGTGTCAATTCAAATTGGACTTATTGCCAAATATTTGAATCGGAAATATACTACCGAAGAAACAAAAATGTGTTTAGACTAAATAACTATAAAACAATTGGCTTAAATTAGTAGTAATTAGTCTAAGCCGGGCGACATTCGTATAAGACGTAGGGCTAATAGTAAAGCACAAAGGAGCTCTGAGAGTTGCCAAATAAATAAAATACTCAAATAAAACAAAATAAGTCGACGGAAGACCAAAGTTACATTTGTCATAGCATACTTTTAGGCATCCTATCTAAATTAAGGAAGAATTTAAAAAATTAACTTAAGGTTGTGTAGTGTTATAAAGTTGCGAAATTCCTCCTAAGATTTTCAAGTTAAGCTTATCGCGAATAAAAACAATTTCAGCAATTTTAGAATGTAATACATTTAACAGTAAAATCGCCGCAGACGGCCATACCTAACTTTATAA